GCCCTCATGCTGTTCATGGCTAAAAATTTCTTCATGTCCAATTTTAGCAGTGGTGTTCCAATGTGATTTTTTTTAATGATTAGAACTGCTATATTGAAAAGAAATCAATTTATAAATTCCCTAGTCCCTGTTGATGATTCAGATACTCTAGTCTGTATCAGTTTCCGTCTTCAGTGAGGAGCATTACCCAAGTCTTAGGGACTTCAAAACACAGGAAACAGTCAAATAAAAGGCGAAGTATAGTCCAGAAAGACAAAAGTTTCTATGAGTAGGGAATTACATTAAAATTATTTGTGATTATTAGCTTTATACACCCATCTCTTTTTTTTGGTTTTAATGTTTTATTTTAATTTTGATTACTCTTTTTAAATAAAAAAAATCAACCTTAAAGCTATAACCTGTGAGTACTGTCTTCATCAGAGTCTGTGACAATAACAAGCAATATTTATACCAGGCAACATTCAAAACACTTGTTTGTTTTTGGAATATGTTCAGCTGGCTTATCTTCATAAACACTCTGAACAAAATGAAATGGTGGACTAGTTGTTGTTTTTCAGTATGATGGAGACATATGAAGCAAAGCTTGTACTTAGGCCCATGCCCATAAACCAGGTGGCAGGGGTGCATGCCTTTACTCCCAGGACCGGGGAGGCAGAGGTAGGTGGATCTCTGAGTTCTGGGCCAGCCTGGTCAACAGAGAGAGTTCCAGGACAGCCAGAACTGCACAGAGAAATCCTATTTACAAAAATAAAATAAAGTAAAATGAGAAAAAGAAAGAGAATATCATTTGTGTTTTAGTGATATATTTCTGACAGGAGAGTATTATGGGATGACAGGTTTGATATTAACATTGCCCTCAACAAGCTTCCTTCTGGACCTCTTTCCTCATAGTTGAAGGATTAGAATATTTAGTTATACCATTTTTTTTCTGAAATTTTTTCCTGTCCTATGTCCAAATCAGATCTATAGCTGTGATTCAATTGTTAATTTACTTTGAAGGAAATAAACAGAGCAGGATTCTTTGATTTTAGGTGATTATAGAGATAAAATATCATTTAATTGTATTACGTCAAAAACAGTTAACCTAAAGCCAGAAAATGCTTATTTTTTTTTCATTTTAAATGTAAAGGTTGCTGACTGAAAAAACATACTGTTAACAGAATTAAACATTACAGTAAATTATAAATTATTATTGTTCTCAAAGATTTCTCTTTTTTAATGAAACAGTGTTATTGTTAAATAACAGTTTGAATCTCTGGAGCAGTTTATAACTTTTGTTGTGCTCTTCCAGTACTGAGTCCTAAATTTGGCAGCTGTTTCTTGACTGATGCCCTCAGTGTCCCCTGCTTTTATGTGGTGGCATTTGGACCCTTAGCTCCTTTGTTCACATCATATCAACAAGCACATCACTCACTTCATCCCCAGTGAATTTTCTGGACTCCGTTGCTCTGCTTGTACATACTCACCAAACAGAACGTGAACTCCTGGGAATCCATAACTGAGGGCTCTCCCTTTGAGTTGTCTCTCAGGAAACTGCTCTCGTTTCGTACTAGTCAAGTCACAGCTTGTGCAACTTCAGAAAAATATCTCTTCCTAAATACAGTTTCTCTGCTGCTTAACCAGCATTTTCTATTTTTTTTTACTAAAAGATGCTTCTTTGCAATAAAATGGTTTTGATGGTTTCAAAAAGATAGGAATTATAAAACATATATTTTTTCCTGTGCTGAAAAAACTGACACGAAATATATATTCTAAAAAACATCTGCCTAAAAAGAGAAGGAAGAGTGCAGGATATAATTAAGCACACCTTGGAACTCATCCTGGCACAAGAAGTGGGATGGATGGGAGGAGGAAGAAGAGTCAGAGACCGAGAGGTTAGAATGGAGAGAGGTGGGGAGGAAACATGGATTAAAGACATCTTCCGTAGGACCTAATCGATCCCAGTGGGGATGCCTCATCTACGAACAGTTAAACTTCCTTGTTTAACAGGTACAGTGCCACTTCTGCTGTGATTCAGGTTAGGGAATTCATGTTTTTATTTGTTTTCTTCCCCTGTCATTCCTTCTCCTTGTACTTTGTTTAGAAGGAATACTGGGAGAGTTGGAGCTATTCAAGCAGAGCTGGTCTCCTCTCAGTTGCTGTTATCATCATAAACTGTTATCTCTCATCTGAGTTTTTTTTTCTTCAAAAAGCCAAATATTTCTACTTGTCCATTCTTTTCCCCTGAGTTTTCCTTAGAGAAACAGGATAACTCTCATGCTTGATAAACTCTAAAATCACGTCAAACCCCTGAAGCTCAGAGAGCTAGAATGATGTGACCAGGGCCATGGAGTTCATAAATGAATTATCCAGAACATAGTATCAATAGCAAGTTTGATTTTTTTTAATTAAGTTGTTGCATGAGATTAGAATTGTGACATATTTATAGAGGTGGTTTATGGAAAGGGTCATTTGAAACATTCATGTTGATTTGTTTTGGAAATTTCTAAGGAAAGTGCACATCCATAATAAAATTTCCTTGTTTATTATCAACTTGTGAAAATGAAATGTGGCCTATTACTATATTAATTATCCATGAGAATAAAAAATTAATGCCTATCATAATTTTAGAAGTGCAAAGTGATGGCTTGGTCACCCATTCACCCAAAATGTGGAAGGGTTCACTTCTTATTTCATAAATCCCATTTATCTTTTGCTTTATGCTTGCTGTGTTACATTTGGCTAGTAATAAATGATTTTTCTTCCCCTGAAGAAACCTTCTTTATTGGTAGTACATCTCTAAGAATATAATCATGATATATTAAAAAATAATCATGTAAATTGTAGTCATTTTACATATTTCAGAATATCTTTGAATAAGGAGACTATACCATTTCAAAAAACTGCTTTGGATATATTTGACTTGGGAAAAGTTAATCATGTGAAAATTGTTTATTTAAATCCAGTGTTCTAACAAGTTTTTGATGTTGATACATATGAGCTTTGTTTGAGGAAAGTTCTTTATTTAAATTAGGCTGAAATCATGATTTTAAAACACAGGTAAGGATGGATAAGATATTTGTAACTTAGAGGATCCTGTTTTGCCTATTCACTAAGTGCCTGAAGGTCTGCTTTGGGAAATGCCGTCATTTGATCATGAGATTTGTGTGTGTTTTTCTTCTTTACGTTATTTATTTGCTTATATTTCATGTGCATGTGTGCTTTGTTGGCATGTATGTCTGAGCACAGTACACATTCTTGATGCTTGACGAAGGTAGAAGGAAGCTTTGGATTCTCTCTAACTTCAGTTACAGGTGGTTGTGAGCTTCCAGGTGGGTGCTGGGAACTGAAACAGGGGCCACTTGAAGAGCAACCAATGTTCTTTACTGCTGAGCTATTTACAGCTCCTCTAACTACGAATCTCTTAAAATGTAAAATTGCTATTTAAAGTGGTATATAATATATAGCCATGCTTTTTGTGCCAATGCTGATAGAAGTATAATGTTAAATTCTGAAAATGTTTTATGTCGGTCTTGAGAAATGGCTAAATGTAAAAACAACTTTCCATATGTGTGTGAAATACTTATTTCGAAGCCGCAGGACTTACATAAAGCCAGGCAAATGTATCCACCCCCATACACTCACACATCCATATACATGCATACAGACATGTCATACAGAAACATAAATGATATATACATACTGCATGAAATACATAAATTAAAAAATTGTCAGTGCTGCTTGTACACTTTTTTCCCCCATGTTTAGTTCACATTCTGTTTTATGGTCATGTTCTTTCTATTTTAGTGAGAAAATTTATTCCAGATTAAGTAGGTTTTAATGTTAAAATAACAGACACAGGGACTTCCCTTCTTGTGAAGTTTGTATATACAGTTTTTAACATGTGTACTTAAATATATTTTAACTCTGGTTGATAATCTTAGGTTATCATTGTATCCATCATTACTATATTGAATATTATTTCTCATCCAAACCATGACTCTTTGGAGAGTGAAAGATTTGCAATAATTCTACCAGAACACTAGAATATAGTTAGATACATATATTTAAAAGTGTGGATCTTTTTAGACATACATTGAAAGAATTAGATCTCAGTCTTCTTAGCTATCTTGTTTGCCCACATTTTAAAGAGAATTGTAAAATTACAGTTGAGCAGTACACCAGATCTGGACCATACGAAACAGTGTACAAATTTGTAGGTTAGGACTGGTTTGGAAGTTAGGGAAGTCTCTGAACACCCTCCCAACGTCATACATTTAGTTTTGTGGGCTATTTCAATAAGGTCACTGGTAATATAAAATAAAGACAGTGTATATATTTATTACACAATATAACATACTCAGACTGTTTCTTTGATGTCTTTTATTATTCTTGCTTCTAAGCGCTGGAGACGTTTAAAGGTATTAGAATTGTGTTACTTTAGTGGTTTTTTTTTCCAAAGATATGTATCTAATTTAATTACAAGCTTAGAATTTGTCTCAAGTGTTAAACATAAGAAGCCTTCGACTTTTTTGTCTTGTATTTGTTATTTTTTATTTTTCAGATTTTATATTTGTTCTATGACTGCTTTTAGAAATATCTAGTCTCATTCCCACCTTCATGAATATATCTAGATTTCATTCAAGTATTTAATAAAATCATTATGCTATGAACCACACCAATTTTACGCTATCTCCAATAATGAGAAGTTATTAGAAATATTGCTAGTTTTCAGCTAGCTATAAAGTACTAAAACTAGCATCACAGCACTGTGGCCAATTTGACCTCATGGTGAAATATTAATGTGTCTTGGTTTTCCAGTGAATCTTACTGCTATTCTGATGAAACACTTACTGCTCAAGATAAAGCCAAGTCTTAATTCTGAAAATTTGAATTTAGGGCAAACAATACTATTTTTATGTTTGTTCCTATCTTTAAAGCTGTCTACTTCTGCAAAATAAAGTAGTTGAAAACAATGTTATGTTCATTGCTAAAGAGTAATTGTTTTCTATTTTGGTAAGGTCTTTCTAGATATGACATTTGGTGCAGGAGGACACACAAAAGCTATTCTGCAGAAGGAACCAGATATTACTGTCTATGCTTTAGACCGAGACCCAACAGCTTATGCAATAGCCAAGCAGCTTTCACAAGTGTATCCGTAAGTAACTCTCTATTTAACTTTGGTGCTAAGTTCTACCAAGTTTGGTTTATCTTCCTGGAATTTGTTTTACCTTGACTGTTGGTCTATTTTTTCATTACTGGCTATTTCACTGTTCACATCCGTCACTGCAAAAGAAAGAATTAATATAAATGTGTTTATAGTGCACATAAAGCAATGCCATCAATGCACACATACTTTCTAAATTTGTGGGAATAAAATATAAAGAAGGACTCCAGTATATAAGATTAAATATATGTTGAAATTTCCACAAAGAATAATTTGACAATGAAATATTGCCAGGAAATCACGCTTGTTAGCTGTATTTAGTGACCTTTGCCTCAAGTATGTACTGCTCACCAAGCAGAGACATGCTGATCTAAATCTTGAGCCTGGGAAGGATATCAAGACATCTTCTCAAAATATTACACAATATAATACAATGCAAAAATTACTTGCTTCAAGTTTAGCTGAATAACATATATGACATCTCACAGAGTATCTGTGTCTCACAATATTGCACCTGCTTTCTCTGAATTTTCTCCAATTCATATGTAGTGATTTATCCTTTTGTCAGAACTAGTGGATTCTCACTCTGCTACCTTTCAAACAAATAGGATCAGAGTTGGTTCAGCAGGTAAGTGTGCATGCCTCCAAGCCTGACCACCTGAGTTCAGTCAATCACTCTCACTTGCTGAAAGGACAGAGCTAACTGCAAGTCTTCCACTGATCTCTTATCTTCTCATATATGCCTTGGTGTGCACACTCACATGGACCCTCATATGTGGGCACACACAGCACATCCTAAATATTGTCTTAATGAGCAATCATTAAAGAATACGGTGGCTTACATAGTAAAATCTGTATCATATGGTATTTGTAATACTTTAGTCTAGAAGAGACAGTGTCTTGGGCGACTGTTTCCAAGTATAAGAACTATTTTCAGCCAACGAGAATGTTATTCTCTCACACTCCACACCTGGAATCAGGAAAAATAGAATGGAATTTCAGAGGAGTTTGACTATTGCTTACCACTGTCAGCAATGGGATGGCATGGCTGGTGAAACAGCACAGCCTGGCCATGGGCAGCTTTATGCAGAGGCTGAGAGGACAGTATGCTGCACTCGGTGGAGGAGGGCCGTGTTTTCCACTCTCTCAGCAGATTTTGCAGATCTACAGAGGAGGATTCACACTTTCAATGAATTTTTTAGTAATGTACATTCTTCTGAAAGTCTCTTGGCTTGATCCCATTTTCTTTTTTCTTCTAGAAACAATGGCCCTTTATTTTTCTATTACATTAAGAAGTGCTTCCATTATCACATGTACTCACGCATAGGTGGTTTTAAACATAAAGCAAAGAAAAGCAGCCCACAAACCACAATCCCAGAGAACCTAGACAACAATGAGGACCCTGAGAGAAACATACATGGATCTAATCTACATGGGAAGTAGAAAAAGACAAAATCTCCTGAGAAAATTGGGAACATGGGGACCTTGGGAGAGGCTTGAAGGGGAAGGGAGATGCAGGGAGGGGAGCAGAGAAAACTGTAGATCAATAAAAACAAAACCAAAAAACAGTGACTTCCAACAGAGGGAAAATGTATGAAAAAGGTGGCAGAAAGTAAACTGAAGGAACAACATAGGTTTGAGAAATTAGCCTAATTACAGTCACAGATCTATGAATCATAATTTAGAAAAAAATATTCTATAAAATGAAAATACCTGGTTATAAAGTAACACACTAATTTTTAAATAGAAAATTTTAAAATGAAATATGAAGAGATTAATATGTTAATATAGAATGAATTTTTAAAACTTGATAAGAAGACCACAAAATCCAATTGTCAAAATGGACATAAAAATTCTTGTTAGATTTCTTCACAGAAGATTTGAAAAAATGTCCCAACTTAGTATTGGTAATGAAATTATAGTTGTACACTATGGGAAATGAAATTAGAGTGGTACTCTGTGGAAAAGTACATTTTTGTTTATGAGGATAGAGGGAACATATACATATTCATTTTAAAGGATATTTCTAATATTAATATAAAGATATGCTTTTTTAAAAAATGAAAGTTGCCTAATAAAAGAGGAAGTGCCTAACAAGACCCTTCTTTAGGCTTCAACAGTGTGTATATATTGTATGCATAGTTGACAGGAAGCTTAGAGAAGGGAACAACATTTAAAAGAAGCTGTATTTATATGATCGCATCTTTGCATATTCATGTAAATTATAATATACGATGTATTGTACAGTGTGTACATGCATACATAAATACCTTATTGTATCAATAGTATAAAATGTATACAATGAAAATTTTTTCTTGGAATACTGGATGATTATTGGAATATTATCTTCTTGAAGGAAGTAACCACAATTTATTTTAGAGAATATAGTGGAGTAAGTAATTTGTTATTTTAGTATGAATATCTTTTGAGAAAGTAAAGGTAATTACTTCTTTTCATATATTTATGTTGCTGTCATTTTAAAACATTTTACACTTCTGAAATTTTTCATATTATTTACCCCATCATATTATTACCCTATTAATAAACCCAGCATTTTCTCTGAAAACTGAACAAGAGGCAAATGCTGACTCTTCTGTTAAACAAGCTTAGCTCTTTTCAGAAGAGATGACATGTTAGATTACCTGCTGTTTGGAAACTGGACCTTTCCCCAGTGCCTCTGAAGACTGCACTGAGGAAACACATTTAAACTGGAGCAGTAGGGCACTGGAAGATGGATGTTGAAGGCAATTTAACCACATGTAGGCTTCTTTCTAATTTCTGGAGGAACAAGATGTGTTCCATATATTAAATACAGAAAAGATAGAAAAATGTTTGAAGAGTGAAATATAAATTATGCTGATTTCATTATTGTATTTTTAAGACAGATTTTTAAAAGCCTAGCTTTATTTCAAAAGTTTCCTGCATAGCGATATAATTAGAGAATTTATCTGTATAATTAAGTATTTATCATCTTTACACTAGATGTTTGACATTTGCCTTCTCTTGTTACACTGCTATTTCTCAATTTTTGTCATATTTGCATATCAAGTCAAAAAGGGGCAAGTCTTTAATTCATGGCTTTGGGTTATTTTTTATGCATTCTCAACCAAATGACAGTGACTGGACATAACTTAGTTATATTCTCAGTCAAAGCCAAAGCAGGTGAGCCTGGTTTTCAGAGCAGCTCACTCAGGTCATAGTCTCCATGAAGCAGAAAAAGAGAATCCCTACACTCTCTAAAAGACATCCTTTTCGAGGGCTGTCTTTCTTACCACGATCCAGCATCCCAACACCCCACCCCCAACCCTGCCCTGCTGTATGCTAGGACCAGTGCTCAACAACAGTTTTAAGCTCCTACTTTAAGCTCCTACTCTGAGGCTACCCACCCAGAGCAGTGAGCCTCAAGGTCCCCAGTAAGAGAGCCCGGCACCCTCAGCCTGGGCTCCAGGGGCTCCTGTGTTCTCCTGGATCCTGCACTGCCTGCCCTGTCCTTCCTTCTGTCCCTGGATCACTGGGCTACCAGGCGGCCCTGTTTAGGTGCTGAAGAGTTCCATCTGGAC